TGTAAAACAGCATCCATGTCAGTTGCAGCATTATTGGTAGCTTCAATTATCCTGGGTAATGCCTTAGGGACCTTCTTTCCACTAGATGCCACAGTATTCTAATATATGATAGGTAGATTAGTTTGATGGGATTTTGAACACTCAAAATCATATAATATTATGTTTTCAAGCCTAGTTTCATTAGTGGATCACTGTGTGTGTAACACGCCTGTCTTCACCCCTTTTCTGTGTAGATTCAGCAAATTATGCTGCACAAACAAAATTCTTGGAATCTAAAATCATTTACATGTTAACTATGGCACAATAGCAGAATTGAGAATTGACCTTTCACAAAGAATACCAAAGTCAGTCTACTGTAGTTCTAATTTGAGGCTAATGCACATGTAATCCTGTACACAGTGTTGTGTATGTCCTTTGATGAACACACACTAATTTGAAATGTAACTAAGAAGGACTTGATGCAGGACAAGAAACATGGGTATTCATGTGTTGGATACAGCATTATGTGTAATTCATATGCATAAGATGGAGAAGAAATGAGAAAACAGGAGTAGAGGAGAGGGGAAGGGAGGGATCTTCTGAATGAGATGCACTTAACATGAACTTCACTTATAGCTCATGTACACCTAATATTCCTACCACCTAGAGATTATTGTATAGAAGAATTTATGTACATTTCAAATCTTGACCCTTATTTTGATTTGATCCATTTTATGAGATCAGTGTGGAATTTTCCATTTTTGGAAAATACTCAAATACTTTGACTATTGAAGCATTTGCATTTGAATTAAGGATACTTAATTTACAATGCTTTTTGATCCTGAACTCCTAATATTTTCTTATCAATGTTTTAAAAGATGTATGGTTAGGTGTTGAGCCAGTTCAGCCTGCTCACTCAGGACTTATTAGGAGTCCTAGCTCACTATCTCTTCAAGTATGCCTTAGAAGAATTCCTTCATTTTTACTGTTTGAATCGTGAACTATTCGTTTAGATCTTATGACTGTGCCTCAAAAGTATCTTAAAATCATATTTCTAAAGTTTCAACATTGTTTTATTATTTTCTACACGTCTGTCTGTGCATCATTGTGTGCTGGTGCCTGCCGAGGCCAGAATGGAATATCAGACCCCCAGGAACTGGAGTATCAGACAATTGTGAACCTCTATGTGGTTCCTGAGAACTAAACCTGGGTCCTCTGGAAGATCAGCCAGTGCTCTTATCTGCTGGGGCATCTCCCTAATCCTGGATTCTTTGGTTGTATTTATCATTCTGTTTGCTTTTATTATGGCTATTTATTTTGGCACTTAATTAATTTTGATTATTACTAATTCTTACGCGCTATTGAACTTACCTCTCGAGTTGCTTATTTCAGTGACTATATTTTTAGTTCTAAAATCTTTCTTTCAGCCGGGCGTTCGTGGCGCACGCCTTTAATCCTAGCACTCGGGAGGCAGAGGCAGGCGGATCTCTGTGAGTTCGAGGCCAGCCTGGTCTACAAAGTGAGTTCCAGGACAGCCTCCAAAGCCACAGAGAAACCCTGTCTCGAAAAACCAAAAAAAAATCTTTCTTTCATCTTCATGGACTTATGTATGAAATTTTTAAAATTATGTCCAGTTATACAACTTTTCATCAATTTTCTTGATCATATTGTATCAATCACAAATAATAACCTAATGTTCTCATTTTCTAAAATGTAATATTTAGAATGTGTTTGTATTTGGATATTATCTGTTTTACTTTTTCTCAGCTCTAGGAGCATTGATAATTTTTAGATTAAATTTTGTGTATGTTTAAATCCTTTTGGATTTCTACATGAAGAAGAGGTTTTGTTTTCCTCTCCCAGGCAGGTAGCATTAAGAGCTAATCCAAAAGGGAGATACCTGACTTCAGGCTACATTGAGTTTTGATACATCCCAGTATATCTTTACTAAGAGTCCTGATCAACCCAGTTCAACTCTCACTTATGGCATTAGCTCCCACTTCAAATACAACCTTTAGGCCTTTACTAATAGCCTGATGCATTTTTTCCCTGCTTGTCAGATGTAGTGAATTGACATTTGGCCATTCGAGAGAAATATGAACCCAGTGGATACTTGACTTCAGATAACAGAAGGCTTAGTTCTTTACATTTCCACACTAGGAAGTTATTTATATGGCATTGTTTCGGGTAATGTGAAGGTGGACCACAGAGAGTATATCACCTGGTAATGTAATAGCTATTTTAGTGTAAATGTACACACTAAACTAATGATGTATTTCTAAAGATCTTGCTAAATGACACACGACTATATTTGAGTCCCTTCTGTCTCGGTTTATTGTGACACCTTTGCATTGCTAGTTTAGTATTTTCTGTCTTCTTTATTAGGCAGCTGCTCTGACTGAGACCATTCTGGCTACTCTCAGAAGTCAGGTATCCTTGGGTGCATGCTCCTTGCAAATAGTTTTCAGTTCACCCTCCTTTTCAGGGCTTCAGTACTCATCTGCTTTCCATCAATCTTTCTGGTGAATGTTTCTTTTAGGTACCATCATTGTAGAGCATGTTGTCTTTTCTATTCAGACATTTGGGGGTTAGCTTATTTGTCACCAGCCTGCCAAGCTTCAGAAGTCAGCAAATACATTCATATTCTTTTTTGCGTGTTTGAAAACTTTCTTTTTTTAATTCTTTATGCTTGTGGGATTCACACAACATTGTTCTTATTTTTCCCATATGTAGAAATTAGTTTTTGTTTCCATGGCCAGGGCTGGATTTTTATTCTGGCTAATCAGTGTTTGTAGTTTATAAAAAAAAAAGCTTCAGTGGGGACACTGAACTGTAGACAGTACTTAGAGGGATTTGTTTCTTGCAGCTGCAGTGCCTCTCGACCTTGGAGATGATCTCCATCTCTAAACACTGTTAGACTGTAAGAGACTGCACTCTGCATTCCAGATGTTTTGACTTGGATTTATGTCCCAGGAAGTTTTGTGAGTCAATCCATGCCATGGTTTGGAAGCTGGTTGGATTTATAAGGCGTTAAAGAATTTAAATTTTTCTTCTGCTCTTGTACAATCCTGAAAAGTTTTTGTGGTTTCCTTGTGCCTATCATTGATCTTTATTCAAATGTTAGCTGTGATCCTCAGCCTCTAGCCCATGCCCAAATCTTCAAATGCTTAATGAAAAATAGAGGTGTACACTGTAAGTACACTTTCAAAAGGGTTGTCTCTCTGATAGCTGAACATCGTAGTCATTAGGTTTGCTCCTAATATCCTAAAAAGTTCTTATTTTTCAGCTTTCCTGATTTGCAACAGAAGTAGCTGTTTGCTATGAATTATCCCATCCAACCCCAAAGAAATTTCTGTGTGTTTTTATGAGGATTTTTTTCTATCTCTTTGTGTTTGCTTTCTATTGCTATCACATATTATCATAACTTTATTGACTCCAATTGATCATCTTATATTTCTGTAAGTTAGAGGTCTGACAAAGGGCCATATATGACTAAATTCTATGCTTGTGTCCCTTCTACCATCTCAGTCATAGGCACTCTATCTGTAAATGCTCTTTCTGAGAATTCTTTGTATTCAGATCCAGCTGACTGTGTGTATATGCATGAGATGATTATTCCTAGTCATAGTCTGAAAATCATAACTATGTGGTAATGCAGTCTGTTTTGTTTCTTGGATCAGAATTCCCGTCAAGCCATCCTTGATCCAGTTTGGTAGCCTTCTATGTGAGTGGTGCTAGCAATGTGTTCTTACTCCTCTTAGGATAGTTTTTCCACTTATTTCTTTATTTGTCAGTCTTTTTCATCTGTCTCTATGCCAGTCAAGAAAAAGACCCAATGGAAAGTTTGAAAATAAATGATTAAATATTTATCATTTCAGTACTACCTAAAAGAAAACTATTTTAATAGTTGACAAAATTTTTAAAGAAAAAGTGCCAATAGAAAGATATGGAATTATTCATAAAAGTATTGACAACTAAAATTTTATGTACATTTTCCAAAATGTTTTAACTTGATTATGATTCACTGGCATTTTGACAACAAATGTGTCCTTTGCAGTTTCATGCCATCAGCAAATTTAAAAAGTATATTTTCTTCACAATCTGTGTAGATGTGTTTTCTTACATGAAGAGGATGGGCTATTCCTATGTGTTTTCATTACCTACACTCTTTGCATTCATTAAGGAGTGAGTGGTGATGGCTAAATTTAGAACAATACTTCATATGAAGTTACAGAAACACATGTCAGCTTCTGGAGACAATGCAGCTTGCAACACTAGCTCAGATAACCTTGTTTCTAATGCCCTTCTGAGTATCCAGTAGAAGTTAAGGATGGGAACTTTGTCTATGTATGTTTATACCAATTTACTCACATTCGATCTTTCCTTTTGTGGTTTTATTATTTTGGCTTATCATTTTGGCAAATCATTTCCTTTGTAAGTCATAGGTGCATGCCTGCATCTGTGTAATTTTCTCAAGCATTAGTACTAATGTCTCAGAAGAAAAGAATAATCGTTTTGGAGCTCACATAAAAATATATATGGCTTTGTTAAATTACATACTTGATACATTCACTACCATTTATTCCTTGTTCATAAAATATTTACTGAATGCATACTCTTTACTAATACTACACAAATTATAATAAGAATAACGTGCTCCTTTGAAAACACACATACAAGTAATATATAGATTTAGCAGGTTATATTTAGGAATATATATGCATATACATATATGCATGAAGAAATAATTAATGAAAAAAGAGGACATTATTTTGAAAGAGAGCAAGGTAGAGTATGTGGGAGGATTTGTAGGGGAAATGATATATTATCATCCTGAAATAAGAGAAATAACTTTGAAAATGTTATTCTCAGAAGTTTGGTATGTCCTCAGATGTCTAAACCCTTGATTCTTGGTTCAGTCTCTTAGAGTGAGAGTGGAAAGGCATGTTTCTCACAGAATCAGAACCACCACATTGGAAACAATGAGAAAGTTGATTAATAGAAATCTTTTGTCTTTTTAGGATGAGAGAGACCCAGAGAAAGATGAAGAACTGGAACTGAAAAGGGGTCTTTTATATAGAGACTCTGCCTATGACAGTGACCCTGAATATAGGTATGGACTTGCTTCTGTGTACAGAGATCTTTCTCATAACTAGCATAGAAATGACCACTTTCTCTTTTTTTCTAGATACTAATCTTATTTTTACTCTGCTAGTTATAGATATGTGTGTCTGTGTGTGGATATGTGTATGAGAGTGCAGATGCCTATGGGTCTTGGAGACATGGGATCCCCCTGGAACTGAAGTTTCAGTGGCTGTGAGATACCCAGTGTTGGTGCTGGGAACTGAACTGAGTTCTTCTGCAAGAGCAGTAGGCCCTTGACCTACTGAGTCATTTTCCCAGCCCAGTTATATTATTTTGTTACTCAAGCTTTTTGATTAAACACACACACACACACACACACACACACACACACACACACACACACACCTAAGATTCATTTTCCCAGCCCAGTTATATTTTGTTACTCAAGCTTTTTGATTAAAACACACACACACACACACACACACACACACACACACACACACACACACACACACCTAAGAGATAAGGGAATGACTCATTAAAGTGCTAGTGGAGCAAGCATGAGGGCCTGAATTTCCAAGCCCCAGAACCCATACAGGGGGTGGAAAACAGAAGCAACTGTGCACTTGTGTTTGTTATCCCAACACTGTGGAAGTAGAGACAGAGGATCCCTGTGGCTTATTGACCATGGAGTGTGATTGAATTGGTGAACCTCAGAGTCAGTAGGAGACCCTATCTCAAAAACTAAGGAGTAGAATAATTGAGAAAGACACCAGACATTGACTTCTGCCTCTATAAACAAATGCTAATCCATTTACACACACACACACACACACAGAGAGAGAGAGAGAGAGAGAGAGAGAGAGAGTCAACTCACATTCACAATGATGCATTTCCTCCTGTTTATATTTTACTGCCCAGCAAATTCATATTTTTCATGATATATTTATCCTAAGCTAAAAAAGATTTCCATAATTGAATAAGTAAATGTTTTTAAAATAGAGTAAGAAAAAAATCTGTTTTTCTAAATTTTTAGGGATATTAAGTAATACAAATATTTTTGAAAAATTATACTAGCAGATTTTATTTTGAAATTATTGTGCCAATGGCCATGAGATGCAGGATTAACAACTATGAATCATGGGTAGTTACAGCCATGCTGCTCTACCATGGAGTACTGTATGATTTTTTTCATTGTGAAATTCCATGAAGTAGAATTTTTTTTCTAGCCAGACTTTGCACTTAAATGGTAACCTTGCATGGAACCTCTATGAACATGTGAGAGCATAGCATGAGTGTTTCCTTTCCCAAAGTCATTGCCTCCCAATCAAGAGATAGCCTGGCCTCTTATGAAAGTGGGTTGACTGTTGTAGATGGACTTGAAAGAGGAACAGTGAAAAAAGTAAAAGAAGGGTTCATAGAGCACACAATTCATGCAAAGTTTTTTCTCTTCTTTGTTGTTCTTTAAGTCTCTTCCCATATTGCTATACCAACTAAAGTTTTGTTAACCTGATATACTCCAGAGCCACCTGAGAGGAGGGAACCTCAATTGAGAAATGTCTCCATAGGATTGGCCTATAGGCACACCTGTGGGATGTTTTTTTAATTAGTGATTGATGTGGGAGTGCCCAGCATAGCCTTTGTGAGTTGTGATACTCCTGGGCTGATCGTCCTGGTGTGTATGAAAAAGCAGTCTGAGCAAGCCATAGAGAGCAAGCCAGTAAGCAGCACTCCTCCACAGCCTCTTCTTCAGCTCCTGTCCTGTTTCTGTTCCTGTCCTGACTTTTCTCACTGATGGACTATTACTAGAAGTGTAAAGTGAAATAAACCCTTTCCACTCCAAGGTGTTTTGGTCATGGTCATTATCATAGCAAGAGAAACCCTAGTATAATTGTTTTTATAAATTACCACCTCAGTTTAGGGGGGCAAAATAAATAACTTTCTTGTTTGGGCAAGAAATAAGAAATAGGTTTGGCACTGGAAAGGGTCTGATTCTGAAGTTTTGTATAAATAATAATTGCCCGTGCTGTTCTTAGAAATACAGATTTCCACTTGATAACTCCAAAGGTTGTGGTTTCTACATGGAAATAAAACCCAAAAATACCCTGGATGGTTATAATACAGGGAATGTGAGAACAACTCTGACTTGGAAGATTTAAATAAGATTGTTGAGAAGTTATTTTAAAAATTCTGTGTTCTTTGTTGGTGTTTCCTAACAGTACTCACCAATTATGTACATCCTTGGGCCAACAGGATGGGATAGGCAGGCCTCCAGAATCCGTTACAGGATGGTTTTTAATATTTTGCTCTGGAAGCTTCGTCTCAAGTGATTAGGGTGTTCTAGTTTTATCTCCAATCTTTGTGGTTCCTGTTAAGTGGAACTGAGAGGCAGGTGCCTTCTCACAGCAAGTGATGGAAGCTTTTCTTGTTAGAAAATCATTTCTCTGAACCTTTCCTCAGGGAAGTAAAATGAATGATTTCAATAAGTAAGTAGTCTTCAGTATATTCATGCACAGATTTTTTTTGCTAATGCTCAAAAGAAAGATGACAACATAGCCTCTTATCCCCTTTGAGTACCACCAAAAGTATGGATCTTATTAGTAGCATTAACATCTTCTGCTTAGAGACCCAAAGTCTCAAGGCCCCACCTGCGGTATATTCCATTGGGAACTTGGGTGTGGCCCAGCAACCTGAATTACAGCAATGACTGGTGCATATTAAAGTGTGAGAAGCATTTCTAAATCTCATCAGTACATATAATGGTTTATATACTCACCTTTAAAGTGGCTTGTTTATTGATTTACTAATAAAAAATGGTCAGAAGTCACTAGAGTAAAACCTGATATATCCACAGAGCAATGGAGAAAACGAATAGCGATTAGCGACTTCTACTCTCCATGCTTCCCCTCTTGAAAGGCCTGCACTTCTCCTTTGACCCCTCCTTATTCCTCTTGTGTGCTCATCTATTTCCTCTGAGTCATCCAGAAAACTCTGTGGTCCACTCTGAGAAGCTGCATGTAGATGCTGCCCTCCAAACCAAGGTTCAACTCCATTGGTGGTCTCTGAGCAGCAACACCAACAAATATCTCAAACACACCTTTGTATAATATCTTTAAAATAATGTTATCAGACCATAATGTAACCTGTTATCTGTTCTAAAGCCCAAGACTGAATCATTTCTCCTTCCTTCCTTCTTCCTTCCTTCCTTCCTTCCTTCCTTCCTTCCTTCCTTCCTTCCTTCTCCCTAGATCCTATACCATATGCTCAGAACTTTTCTTCATGTTTTATTCATTGAGGTTTTTTGACTGATAGAAACAAGTATTGAGTTTTATGACAAGGACTTCATATTTTACAATACCTATAATCATATTCTAATATTACACCGTGGAAGTGCTAAGCATACCACTGTCTTAAAATCTTTAAGTATAAGTAGTACATTATATTTTCTTATTTATGTATTACTTTTTGTTGCCATGATAAAAAAAACACAATCTGGGAAAGTTATAGAAGAAAGAATTTATTTGGGCTTCTGATTCTAGAGGGATTTGTCATCACGGTGGGAAAGCATGGCAGCAATAAGCAAGCATGGCAGCTGGAGCAGGAAGCAAGTACTGACATCCTCAACCTCAACCATAAAGTGGCTTGAGTAGACTGGACATAGCCAGACTACTTTTAAAGCTCACATCCTTCCTCCAGTCAGCTTGCACCATCTAAATCTCCAAACAGCACCAGGTGGGGACAAAGAGTTCAGTGTCAGATATTCTAGCGGACATTTCTCATTCAAACCACATGCTTCTTAAAATTACTATTGTTGGCTTAATATATTCATCTTCAGAGCTCAATTTTATATAAATTTTTGTATTATGTATGTGTGTGTTTATTTTATCTGGAGGCTGTTTATGAGAACCAAGTCATAAGCTATGTGTAAAGCACTACTCCTATGATCTTCATTTGAACTGACAAAAAGAAAACGCACAAAATACCCTCCAGGCCTCAAATGATTTGCATCTTTTATCTAAATTAATCACCAATAATCTTTTTTTGTTTCCCAATCTATTGTAAATTGCCTAAAATATTCCTCATTTATGTATATATTATAGGCTTCAAAAATGTATATACATTTGTAATTTATACATTATTAGAGTTTAAAACTGATTGGTTCTCTTATCTTGCCTCTGTTCTTATGTTGTGTTTTATTTGTATAGCAATGTCACAGTTCAATAAAGAGCTGTCTATTCAATTAAACAGGCATAAGTTGTTGGAAATATGTACTACATTTAAAACAATAGCATAATCCCTTCTTTGAAGCTAGTTGATACAATGTTTTATAACATGTATCAGGAATGCCTTAAATGAATTGTGAACAAGTGCTGGAAATATTATTGGTAAAATGAGATGTGAAGTTGTTTAAAAAGCCCATGTCTATGTTACGGTTTTAATTGCCATACAAACATTTGAAACTTAGTAATACTCAGCAATTAAAAAATAATTCAGTTGCTCATAATTTATTAGAGATTCCAAAATGCCTGGAAGCAAATAATCCAGTGTCTAGGATTCTGATGTTTGTGTTTGCACCTCTCCATAGACTTCAAAGACATTAAGACGCATTGTGCTCAGATCTATATTTTACAATTTAGACTTTTTCTTGTTTCTCCGTTTTAATTTTTTTGGAATTTCATACACACATACAATGTATTTTGAACAAATCTGCCCTATTCCCTTCCCATTCTCTATCTCCATCTCCACCTTTCCTTCCCAACATTATATACTCTGTTTTATAAATTCCCTTAGTCCCCTTAGTGACAATGTGATTGTTCATGGATGTGGGACCATCTATACTGGAGCATGTTTAGCCTCTTGGGTGGCATACCCTGGAGAAACATACTTTCCCACCCCAGCAGCCACAAATTGCCAATAGCACTTCAGCTATGGATGGGACTTCAGGAGCACCCTCATCCATGTTGGAATTCTGACTGTCCTGATCTGGTACAACACTCATGTAGGCAGTTATAGCTGATGTGAGTTCCTGCATGTGATAGCTGTGCCATGTCTGGAAAATTCTGTTTCACTGTAGATGTTATTGCCCATGGTTCTTATAATCTGCTTCTTCTTCTACTATGATCTCTGAGCATGAGGAAGAATATGAGAGAGATGTCCACAGTCTCTTATTTTCTGCATGCTTACCAGTTGCAGACCTCTGTATTCATCTCCATCTGCTGCAAAAAGAAGTTTCTCTAAGAGGGTTTGAAAATGTTACTAATATATATGTATAAAGATGGGAACTTAAAGGGCAGTCTATTATATCCATTCAGCAGAATAATAGCATTGAGTTCTTTCCTAGAGAATCTGACCTATTTAGCCATGTATCATGACTCCAAGCAATAGTGCCAGGTAGGAATTTAAACTTGGAGAGTTTAGAGTCCAATCAGAAAGTGGTTGTTTTCTCCCATAATATTAATCTATGCCACTATTACACAGGTGGTCATAACTTGTCAGGACAGTCTTTACTTTTACTGTCGCTCATAGCTGAGTAAAGTCTGTTGGTTACTGCCATTACCAAGAAGTGTGCACAGATCCTTCCAGCAATATAAAAGCTAGTAAGGATGACATTTTCTGGTCAGTCCCAGCTTGATTTTTCCATGTCCTATGGATCAGGTATGTGGTAATTTTAGAATACCTAAGAGAGATAGCAATAGCCTGCAATCCATACCTGGCACTGGGCCTTTTTGTCTGATAGCCTGGGTATCTGAGAAAGGCATCCCTGCCCTGCTATAGAGTAACTACCTCAAATTCCTAATAAGCATCTACAGCAATAGGTCACAATGTGTCATTTCCAAAGGTCTTTAGTGTTATCTCCCCTGTATTTCTCAGCTCTCTCCAACCCCACCTCATTTAACCCTTTCGTTATTGAGCTTTCACTTTTCATACCATGTATTCTACCCCAATTTCCTAGAACCCCACTCCCATGGTCCCTTCCTAGTTCCTGACGTATATGGGTATTCTAATTTAAACACTTGTGTCTAAAGATTCAAAACATTCAACTCTTGTCTTACTGGTTCAGAGCTATTTTACTCAGAATGATTATTTCTAGTTCCATCCACTTACCTGTCAGTTTAATAATTTCATTTTCCTTTAAAGCTTAACATTCCATTGTGTTTACGCTTGGCATTTTAATTATCTATCATCAGTTGATAGTCATCAAAGCTGTTTCCATTTTATTGCTATTGAGCAAATAGAGCATCTATAAATATGGACAAGGACTATTCCTGTAGGATGATGTATTTTAGGAATTTGTTCAGGAGCCATATAGCTGCATCAGACGGTAGATGTATTCCTATCTATCTGAGGAAATTCCACACTGAAGTTTTTAGTGGCTGTACCAGTTTGTACACCCACAAGTAGTGAATAAGTGTTCCCTGTTTCAACATCCATACCAGCATTTATTGTCTTTTTTTTAAATCTTATCCATACTGACTTGGGTAAGATAAAATCTCAAGGTAGTTTTAATTTGCATTCCCTGGTGGCTAAGATGTTTAATATTAAAACGAGCAAACAACTGTTTCTTAGCCTTTTTTATTTCTTTTGAGACCCTCCTGTTTAGTTCTATGTCCCAGTTTTAATTTATTTTTTTTGTTTTGTTTACTTGTACATTTTTTGTTGTTGTTCTATACACTAACACTCTGTCAGATGTACAGTTGGTGAGGATTCTTTTTCAACTCTATAGATGATCATCACTGAAATGGTTGTGTCCTTTAATGTATGTATTTCTTTTTAGTTACATGAAATCCTGCTTGCTACTTAGTGGCATTAATGCCTGTGCACACAAGTTCAAGAGCTTTCCTTACTTTCTAATTGGTTCCAAGTATTAGGTCTCATGTTGATGTTCTTGATCCATTGGAGTTGTTTCAGACAGAATGGGCAATGAGGATGTAGTTTCATTCTTCTACTGATGTATTTGTGATTTCTCTGTATGACTCAAATGGTAAAAACAGTGTTTTAAGTGACAATAGAGGTGTATCAGGAGAAAACTTGTGTGAAACATTTGTATGAAATTGTCTAGACTTTGTGTAAAGCTAATAACAGAAATGTGCTGATTGTGTCAAAATAGTAGTTATGAGACTTGGAAATGGTGGTTTTGTAGCTTATACTGTTATAATAAATTAAAAAATACCATATGTATTCTTTGAAATTTTTATGGATTTGTACAATGTCTTTTTTTAAGTATCTATCTACAATTAACCTCCTTCCAGCTTCCCCTGTTACATCCCATCCCATTTTCCTCCCAACTTCATATGTTTTTTGTTACTATTATCTGGCTCCTACTAGTTCTGACCATATGTGCATGACCATGGGACTATGCACAGGGGCAGGGGCAACAAACCAACACCCATGTCCCCAAAGGAGAGTGACTCTCTCACATGGCAGCCTTCTATCACTAGGAAGTCCCCCGAAAAGCTTGGAGCATTGAGGCCCCATCCTGATCAGTGTTGGAAGTTTGACTAGCTTAGTCTTATTCAAATCTTGCTTAGGTAACTACAGTTGCTGTGAAGTGATGTGTCCAAAAGCCATATCACGTCTCCAAATCAGCATTTCTCAGGTCTCCTCTCTGACATCCAGCGCTTACATTCTTTCTGCCCTGTCACTTGTGATGTTCCTTGAGCCTTGGATGGGGGAGGCTGATGGAGCTAAGCCCTCACAGTAACTTAGTCTCAGTACTTTGACCTGCTCTCACTCTGTACTAACTACTACCCACTGCAAAAATCTTCTCTGACCAACTCTCAGAGCAACAGAAATCTATGAGTATAAACAAATATTTGGAAGGCAATTGCAAAACAGTAATAATAGTCACCTAGAGCTTATGACCTCCCTGGTTATGAACTTTTATGAATTTTACAGTACCACACACAAAATTCTTGCTGTGGAGGGGCTAATATCTAATCAGAAAGCAGTTAGTTCCCTCCAAAATCATGTCCTTATTCTTCCAGTAGGCACATCTTTCCATGCAGGTTGGTATGATAGCATTCAGTGTCTGGTGCTGGACCAAGACTTTGGTGTTTTTTCTCCCCCAGAAGCCTGCATAGCAGCTGAATAAGCAAGTCATCAGAGAAAGGGTTTCCTAGTCAGCTGAGGGAGGTTTTCTGATATCTTGAGTCTTACTATCTTGTTATGGTGGGCATCCAAGAGAAATAGTCTATGTTGTTCTGGGTGCGTCTGAGTCCTCTGTGACCAACAACTTATAGGGAGATGTCTGACACTGAAATTTTCATTTAATAATTCATGCAAAGTACCTCTGTTCAAACTCATATATAAGTATATATTTTTATATATAGGGTGGGTTTCTTGACCCAATTTTCCATTTCCAAGTCACTGGGATTACAGACATGCATCACTAGGCTTGGCTTTCACTAAACACTAATTTCTCCCTCTACACACTTCTCAGTGTCATGAGCTTGCTGATAAGTATAGAGAAAGTACTTAACATAATGTATGGTATTCACTTCTTTATCCCGGGTACATGCTGTACCATATACTTTATATGCATTCTCTTGAACAATTATATAAAAATAAAATTAAGGAGGATTAAACAAAAAAGTTAACTACCCAAGAACTTACAAAAAATTCTGGTTTCAGAGGCTCTGTTCATACACTGACCATACCACAGTGTCTGTGCTGTTTTTGCTACAAGGGCTCATTATGTAAGTCATTGCTAACCAAACTATAGCCTCAAACTCACAGAGAGCTGCCTGCCTCTGCCTCCTGAGTTCTGGGATTAAAAGTCTGCCACTGTGCCTGGGTTTTGTGCTAATTTTACCTTGCTGCACCCCCCTTTAATCCCCAAGCCCCTTTTAAACTCTTAACCCAGTTTTTATTTTATTTTATTTTATTTTCTTCTTCTTCATGCTTCCCCATTAATAGGTTTGCTGTCCCTTGTAGAGAGTCAGTATTTAAAGGCAAAAGCCTTGTTTATTTTATTTTACAGCCCTAACAGAGTACCACACATCCATAATATTTGAACTCATAGTAGTACCTCGAACTTAGTTACACCGTTGTTTTAATCTGTGTTAAAAATCAATCTTTTCTCACAGCTATCAGCGGCCACGTGGCTCTCTCCATTTGGATGATGGCGAATACTGGTCCAACAGAGCAGCCTCTTTTAAGGGGAAGTCCCACCGACCCGTCTTTGAGAACAGCATGGACAAAATGTACAGGAACTTATACAAGAAGGCCTGTACTTCTGTTTCTCATACACAGGAGAGCTTCTAAGATCATCCACCATAAACTGTATGAGTGTCCGTGTCAACCTCTCAATGAAAGCGTTTGATGTGATCTGTATTTGTATGCCTTTCTTTAAAACAGGTGTCTACTGAGTAACAGTTAGACTAGAACCCAGCGTATTCCTTCAAATGGTTAATTATCACAGCCTAGCCTTTATTAGAGAAGAATGTGCTATTTCCAATGTCAAAACTCTGCAACACAGTTACAACTTCCAATTTGTGGCAAGGCTATCCTGCCACATGTGCTCCTATCATGGCTGACAACCTGAAGAATAGGTTCTTTTCTAGAATGTTCTTCCATTTTAACTTTCTTTTCATTCTGGTTGGCTGGATATCTTATCTGGGTAAAATTTAATTAATATCAGATCCCTGCTATCAGTAATGAGCAAAAAAGTGTTCTCTGCAGAAATGAATTTCAATAATTTAAACCTGTTTTAATCAACATCATCTACTTTTTCCCCTTTTATAAGAGGCTATTCTATTTCTTAGGTTCTAAAACTAGCTTACATTGTAAAACTTACACATGCATTCACTGCTTCTCTGGAAGACTAGCTGAGTCATCTGAATGTCTACCAGCTAGATTAGTTTACTAGAAGAGACCATGGATGATTCGAAATGTAGCTAATATTTTAGTGTTAAATTATTTGCAATATTTTCTGCTAGGGAAGTACATTTTGATGCAAACGTAATAAAGCATCCTGTGTTGGTAAGCATATAAAAACTAAAAATAAACTAAAATAAAAGAACTATATTGTAATTTTACCTCTGGTATTTTCATAGGTATCACATCACCTAGGCAACTAGCATTCACACTTTAAAGGGACCATGGAAGGATTAAAATAACTCAGCAGGTGTCTTTCAATAGACACTCATAAACTTAGTGCTGGATTGATAACATTTGTGTTTTTCCCCACCCCACATACCCATGAAACCAATGACACTTTGAAAGTGCCAAAAAAATTGATTACCTTTTTACCAGAGTGAAGGGAGAGGTAAAGTGGGAGTGAATTGAAGCTGCTGGAAGCTTGAGGAGTTGACTGTCAGGGAATGTTTATTTTGTAGTTGTTGTTGACTCTACCATTCACTAATTCCACATTTTTTCCTTAAAAGAAAAAAATCTTTGACTTGCACTCCATTTAAATCTGACATTGAATTAAGACATTAGATGGCATACCTTCATATTATGTCATAATAGAACTTGTAAACATGTTAAAGCAGTTGACAATCTGTTCTATATCAAAATGAGCATGAGGGGCAAGAGTATCAGTCGAGGATTGTGTCTCATCTCTGCTCTTTTCCATCTGAGTCTCTTGAATTCTGTTTCCTTAGCTACTGTGCACAGGAAGTGTGGATTAGCCTCTGAAAATGTCCTGTGGATAAGATACAACATTCTATGAAACAAGTGTTGGAACATAGGCCTAATTATCTTATTGTTCATGCTGGCTTACACACACACACACACACACACACACACACACACACACACACACACACACACACACACACACACACACACACACCCTCAGAGAGCAGTTGATAGAATTCTAGGAATGGAAAGTGTTGCAGAGGTGGGAAAAGAGATGGTAAACTGGCCCTGGGCATAGGTTCTTACAGTCGTCTAACCTAAGAACATGTGTTATTGTAGCCATCAGTCCCTATGTCTCCAGCTCTGCTGTTGTACACCACACTCACAAATGGTATTCTCAAGTTCATTTGGGTACAGTTTAACACAGTGTTGCAATTTGTGAGCACCGAGTTCCCTACCATGGGTTATATTATAGTGGTTTGCACAATGTGTTTTTAAAGGTTTACATGAGTAATGATCTTTTTAAAAATCCATGTCTGGGGACTGGAAAGATCAATTGGTAGAGTATTTGCCACATGAGCGGCACTGAGATCATATCCCTGGTACCCATGTGAAAACTGGGCACAGCAGCACTCTCTGTAATCCCAGTGCTGGGGAAGTAGAGCTTTCTTCCTCCCTGGAGGAGGAGGAGGATCTCTTGAGCTCCCTGGCGTAGTCAAACAGCTGAATCAGTAAGCTCTAGGTTCAGTGAAACACCCTGGCTCAAAAGATAAATTAGTTAGTAACTAGAGAACATACTTAGTGAATAGTGCCCTCTGACCTTGACACACATGCACAAAACCACACAAATATGTACAAATACCCTCCATATCATGAGTGGAAATTAGTGTATTTTACTTTAGGAAAAATGAAAAGCTAAAATTAAATCCAATTAAAACTACTCTTTGGACAACATGGTGATACCCACTTATAATCCCAGCACTTAAAAAGAGGCAGGAGGATTGCTGTAAATTTAAGGACAGCCTGGTCTATTTGTGAGTGACAGACCATCCAGGGCTACATAGTGAGACTTTCAAAAATGAAAAAAGAAAACTATTTGATGAAAAGAATAAATAATCAATTAAAAAGTTCTACTCTCACATAAAAATCTGAATAAGCGCTTGCTGTACTTGTGACTACCATTAGGTGTGATCAGGACCACCAAAGTGTTCCAAAAGGAGCTTCAGAAACGGGTATCCTGGCAGGCATTTGCTGTGGGTTGGATGAGAGCAAATTCCTAGATATGTAGCATCAGTGATCTCTCTGTCTGTCCCCTGTCTCTGGGGGAAGGTGGGGTCAGAGATCACTGATTTCAATGCCAGCATGAGCACCATGTATCAGAAAAAAAAAAACCAAAAACTCCAAAACCCAAGAAATTTAGGAAATAATGAAATAAAATGTACCATTGGCATGAAAGTCTCCCTGGGGGTACTTGTTATAATTTTCCTGTCATTTTTTCTTATTGAAGGGATTAACTTAAAGTACTCTTCAGCTCTCTGTAATTGCTTAATGGATTAACCTGCAGGATCAGGAAGTCCCAGGTGGGAGAATTGCAGTCTGACTCCAGAGATTAAAAATCTGGAGTAAAAGCAGTGTACTTAATTGAGATACAACCTTTGAAATATACAGTCCAGTATTTTTTGAACTGTTCCCTGAACTGTACAACCATAACTGCTAAATTCGGATATTTTAGCAGAATAAGTTCTATATGCAGGAGCAACCACTTCCCACTGCCCTTCCCCCAGCTCTTGGAAAGCACCAATCTTGTCTCTCTGCTTTCTCTGTATATTTCATATAAATGGAGTTATACCGTGTGGGACTTGCCTTGTCTAGGTTCTTTCCAGTAGCATGAAGTTTTCAAGAGCTGTCCATGTGTATATGTTTTAGTATGTATTCCTTTTATTGCCAAGTAATTGACTAACCACCAAAATTTTATCCCTTCAGTTGATTGGCAGCTGTTTTCCCACTTTTGATATATTTTGTATATGGTTTGTGGATATATGGTTTTACTTATTTTTAAGTATACAGTTAGGGTTTGAATTATAGCCATATGGACACCAGTGCCATCATATTGTATAGTCAGCTACTCTTTAAGAGGAGTCCATTAGTCTTTGTCACAGAGACCCCCAAAACTGCCCCCATTGCTATGAGACCCCATGGCTTTTGTTATATATGGCCCCTGGTATTAACCTTTATCGACTCCAGCTGCCTGGACTCCTGTACGCCTCACTGAAAGTACTTAAAACAAGTTTTCCAGTGTTCTGTGTGTATGCCTGTAACTGGGAAATGCCCACCACTGACCTTGTTATGCCTATGGCAAACTGTTATAACTTTGTGCATGAGGACATTGAAAGAATCACACTGTAGGACCAAGTAATATACATCTCTTGGATACACTGCTAGTTCAGTATGGAAAAAAATCAGCCACTATTATAGACCACAGAATCAGAATGAAATGGGAAAGTTCATGATCACTCAATAGATACAAGGTGTCTGTCAAAATTCAGCAGATTTTCATAATAAAATAGAGATACAAGGAACATGAAAACCCCTTTCTTCCATTTCTGTAACAAAGTATAGGCAATGACTTTAAAAGTGGAAAGGTTCATTTTAGCCTATGGCTTTGGAGGTCCCAGCTTATGGAAGGTTGGGTCTTTGCTTCTGGGCCTGTGCTGAAGCAGCTGACTTCTATGGGCAGCTTGTGACAGAGCAAAGCTGATTTAACTCCTGGTCAGGGTACGAGAAATACAGAACAAGAAACTAGTGCCCCACTGTCCCTTTAAGAAGCACACACATCTCATTAGCTCTCAATTCTTGTTCCTACTACCTCCCAAAAGTTCAGCTCTGGGAAACAGTCCTTTAAAAGGTGAAGCCCTTTTGGAAACACTTAAGACACAAAGTGTAACAGTGTTGTACAGAGAAGAAAACTGAGAACATTTTTGTAAGATCTGGAATGAGGCAAAATACCTGATCCCTCCATTATGATCAGTGTGCTCCTGAGAGTCCTAGTCAAAATTTAAAGGTGTCCAATGTGAGAATGAGATGTAAATTTTATTTGAGACAATGTGATCATATAGTTAGGAAATCATAAAGATCTATTTAGAAACTGGTAGGTGGAACCAATAATTAGTTAAATGAAGTTGCAAAATCAAAGTACAAAAATCTGTCATTTTAGACACCATAATGACCTAAATAAGTAGAACATTTATAAAAGCAATGCCACTTCCATTTTTAAAAATAAAACATGTAGAAATTAGAGATGAAAATTATAAAACTGATAAATTTAAAAACTAGAATACAAAGACATATGAATTCAGGGTTTGGAAGAATTAACACTATGCAATGTCTATACCACCCTAAGCAATCTCCTTATCAAAACAGGCTTTCTCAGAATCCCAATGTCAATGTTTAAATAAAATTTTCATATGGAACCGTTAAACTCTTCAAATAGCTAAAGCAACTGAGTAAGGAAAAACCTGGAAGTACTTACACTTTCTGATTTCAAATTACATTTGAAGGCTGTAGTATAACACTATCACACTGGCACAAAATCAAACACATGGGCAAACGGAACAGAATGGAGAGTTCAG